ACACAAGCCCTTCACGTGTCCTTTACACGTGCAAGTAGCTCCACAAACTACAGCAACACAGGCCTTTGTGCATTTGCAAAACCATATGCTGAATTTTCAGCAGCTGCTTCCACAGAGCATCTTTTACTCACCAGGAGTGAGTAAAGATTTTAATTAAAAATTGCACACAACTATTATACCATGATGCTCACTTACATGGCATTTTCCTGCCAGATGCTACATACTGCAGCTGATCAAGACTGCATTCACAGTTTGCTTTCCACAAGGAGACATTTTTATATATAAATACCACTGTCTTTCAGATGGCATTTATCTTTTCTTGGGATATTATACGACACTGTCACTATCCATATGCTACTTTTCATCTACTCGAGTAGAACAAAACCCAAGAATTGTGTGGTCAGTTACTCTGGCTGCACAGTGCCTGAACTCTAGGGATAAAGACAGTGAAACGATTCTTCAGTGAGTCGTAAATTGGGATGAGTCTTTTTGTTTTGTACACAAAGTCCCATTTTGGAGTTCTTCTCTCAAAGCCAGCAGTAAAAGGTCTCACTTTTACACAAAAATGTACAACTGTAAAAACAAGTAAAGAGAGAAAGGTCATGCACAACAACTTGATGTCTAAAATTCTGCTTGACAGAAAAATACTATGAAGGCATGTGTAAGAACCAAGCACATTCAACATCAACATCTTACTACATTTAGTTCTGGGTATCAACAAAGCATTGCTCAGGCCAAGTAATTTTAAGGTTCTCATGTTTCACCATTGAGACTAAGTCAGGTCTTACTTTAGCTTTTGCACCATGATAGCCTCTGGAAGCCTGAATCCTAGGCAGGATTCCAGGGTATAGTGAGCTGTAGCCCCTCCTCCAGAAAGTTTACATATACAGGTACCAGGGAAGAGTAGTTTCAATTCTAGAGTATCATACATGTTTCTTTTCACTATGTCATTGTTTGACCTATGAATAGTTTTACTTTTTTTCTAATGTTACAACAATTGATTCTAATGTTACAACAATGTTACAAATTGATGCTGAAGCTGAAGACATTAAAGTTAGGGTTTTTTAAAAAAAATTCATTAGCCAAAAGGGAAAAAAGTTTTGTCCTTGCTGCAGAGGAAACCGAAAGTTTGTAACTTTAAAAACAGGTAAATATGAGGTGTCACATTTAAAGAAAGGTGCATTTGGAAGAGATTCTGCAGGCAATCCATAACTGGTGAAAACAGCAAGGATGCTGTATTAGAAGCTAAGAGTAGTGCCAACTAATCAGGTACTTCACGCAATGAGGACATATATAGGGCTATGAAAAAGATGTAAGATTCCACACGGATACTAAAAATATTAAATCTAATGCCTACTTCCAGGTGAACATGTTACTGGATCTCATATGTCAGAATGGTAGTAGAAAAAAGGTAATGAGTACAATACTGTAATACTAAGGATACAGATTATGGACATTTTACCTACACCTTTCTTTCTAATATGCAGTTTCTTCGAGCTCTGGCTCTTGTTTCTAATTCAGGAACCTGATTATAAATGGCAGTAAGGTATGACAAAACCACAGCATATCCTGAATGGCTGTAAACTCATTTAAAAATGCCTAACATTTATTACAAGAACATTCAAGGCAACATTACAAGGCAATTATTTTTTGTTAATAATTTATACATGGATATGAGTTACCTTTTCCTTTCACAACTTAGTTCAGCCATTTTCTGAAGAATGACTGCAAAGGACACATGATGAACTTCTGTATCTCAGTCCCAACATGGCTATTTACAAACAATGATGACCTTAATCAATACAAGCGTGCTTTGTATTCTAAACTGTAAAATGAGAATATTTATTTGCTTTGTTCATAGATCAACAAACACAAATATCACAAGACCGTGTAGTACCAAAACAGAGAAACTTATTATTCCTTCCTCAGAAAGGGTAATGTTCCACCTTCCAGTCTAGCCTAGCCTTCCCAAATTCTACGTGCCCCACTGTAAAAGCTTTTTTTTTTGGGGGGGGGGGGGCAGCGAGGGAGGGGCAGTTGGGCAAAATTTCATTCAGTACCTTCAATCATGTCTTGATCAAATTTTGGATTAAAACTGAACCCTGCTTCTTTTTCAAAAAGTATTTCTCTCATTAAAATACCTAAATGTAGGTAGGCACATAGAAGATTTAGAGAACACCAGTACAAAATCACTAGAATTATGTCAACTCCACAAGAACTTTCAAGAAGGCATGAGGGAAACAACAGAGAGCTACATGAAGCAGATCTGAACTTCTTCAACACACAAACAATTCACATGAATTCTGATTTCACGTGTAGCCTCATAAACTTGTATAAAAACATTTTTTACTTTATTATTATTACAACAGGTGCAGTAGATAAACATTAGCATTCTTTCTTTCCATTATTTACTTAAAATGAGGAATAACATCCAGTGACCTCAGAATACCCATGTGACATTTCCCTCTTCATGGCCTTCATGCACTACAAGATTTATGGACGTATTAAATCCAGAATTTTAAAATATCTATGCTCTCTAAATCAGTGACACTTTTATAAAGCAGATTCTTGGCCCTTTCACTGACTATCTTTGCACAATCCAAAGCAGCCCTCTGAAACCCAGAGACAATCACACGATCCAACTTGGAGGCATGAAATACTTAAACTGAACGAGCTGCTATTATAAATTCTCTTGATACACCCCCCCCCCCCCAATAATCTGATGATTCACAAGGAATAGAACCAAAACTGAGAAAACTGAAAACACAAAACCACAGTGACTTAAAAAATAAACAAAAAGCCCAACCCAAAACAACCTGACTCACAATTGACTTTTGGGGTTTTTTTAGGGGAAGGTACACAGAAGCCTAGCAAGACAAGGTGCTTACTGAATCAGGTTTATCAGCCTTTTCACAGCAGCACCCACAATATTTCATCCCAAACATAGAAATAAAATATATCTGCATGTGCATGCTGTGTAGTACAGGCAAAGCTGGGATGCAGATCTGTAACACATGCATGTGCATGTTTCCAAAACAGGATTGTATCATGGAATTCACCATAACACAAATAATTCAGGTGGTCATTCACAGGGACTTCACATAATCCTGACAATAAGAAAAAAGCAGCCAAGGATTCCAGTTCTGGACAAAGAATGCGAACACAGCAGCTCATTTGTTACCTGTAGCACATCTACCTACTCAGCATTCAGCCTTGCTAGCTCACCTGTGGATAACAGCAAAGGACAGGACAGGAATGTTTGTACCAAGTAGACGCCAGGAGCCTGTATGAAGCTCAGAGCAGAACATTTATGTTTTAGGCACATAAGCTATAGTTTTAAGCTATTTATCAAATACCTTTATACAAGCTGTAGCGAGGCTGTCTGAAGTCCAACTCACACAAGTACTGTATTTATCTGCAGTGCAAGCCCAAATAGTTAAGGGGCACCAACACTTAAGGTCACACATCCCTAAAGTATGTAACAGAACTTGTCATTATAGAACTGAGTGCACCAGCAACTTATCAAGTTCCACTACCCTGACACCCACAGTTAGTACACCTGAAACCAGGGCCCAGAGCCAGGCGGTTTTGTCCATCAAATTTGCCATGAAAAAACCCAGACTGATACTTTACTGATGAAGGAACCTCAAGAGGGTGCATGGAAAAGTGTTATTCTGTGCACATGACTAGCAAAATTTAGACTCAATTGTTTTCATCTCATTTTCTCAGTCCACTCCCCTCACTTGCTTAGACATGAGATTAGCACCTGCTGTAGATGATCTAGAGCTAAACGCAGACACAAGTTGGGGGAATTCCTCCGACACCTCTACCCTCCTTTCAAATGTTGCTAGTATTTTTTAGTGACTATAGTCCCAGTCAAGAACAGGGAAATCAGCCAGAAAAAAACCTGCCCAATCAGTTTTCATGAGAAAGTCAGGCTTGAATAAAAATATACAAAACCGTACATTTTTTTATTGAAAAGTTATTCTGAGTTACACAGTTACAATGGAGAGATAACAATACATTGTACATCACATTTATTCCAAAGAATTCATATCATAGGGCTCCAATGATAGCTTATTCTGCAAACAAGTATCAGTTTAAAACATGTAACTAAGAATAACTAAATCATGATTTTTAACAACAGTGGTCTGTAGTAGTTTTACATCTTTCTATCAGCAGTTTATTTCTTCAAAATCTGGCAAGGTTAGGCCTGATGTGTAATTATGCATCACCAGGAACCTGGAGCACAGTAGTCCATGAATGCTTACCTCTGCCCCTTTTTGAATGCACCTGTAAACCTAGAGGTTTCCACACATTCTTTGACTTGACAATACTTTTTGAAGAATAATTCAGTATTTTCAGATTGTACAGTTTAATTCTGGTAGGGTTAAACTGGTAATTTCCAGTCTTACTAAGTAAACCAACCAGCAATGTCTGACTTTCAATTTCACATCCATTTTCTTGCTGATGCAAGAAAGCTTTTTCCACTCTTCCAGTCTGCTGACAAAGTACTTTGTTTACTTAATTTAAATTGCACCAAAAAGCTGGGTAAGGAAACATATTTAATACTCTCAAACCAGCAACTTTCCGAGTAGTTTATACACAGGAAGAGAGGACTAAAACAAAGTACCAAAGCCAGTGCATCCAGTTCTCCATAATCTTGTAATAAACACCTGGAGAAGAATAAAAGGAACTTCATGTCATCTGCACACCAGACAAAACATTGCAGCATCTCCATGAAGTGCTGCTGTTCTCCCTTAAAAATAAACAAACAAAAAAATCCAGCCAAAAACCCAAAGCCAGATAACAACACCCCACGCCCAACAACAACTACTACTGGATACCAAAAAGAAAAAGGAGGAAAGTTTTGTGTTTTGTCAATGCTTAAATATTCTTTGGGAAGCACAGTGGTAGAGCTCTGTATCCTCCAGTACCTCTCCTCTTCCATCTCATCTCTTTATTGACTGTCATTTAGCGGAGAAGACCAGCATTCAGTATCTTATCCTCCAGTAAGTGAAGAGGTTGTCTTTTACCCAAAGAAACCTTTAACAGGTAAACTGATTTCATAAAAGCAACCTAGGGTTAGGCTGATTGGAAGGTTCTCCACTTCCTATATCCTCTCCACAACTGATATTTTCTGTAGGCGTGCTAGAAAAAAACCATAGGGCTGACCTTTAAATTGACATCAACTTACAACTAATTTTAAAGAAGATACCTGAAATGCCTCTATCTCTCTCTCTCTATTCTTCAGATTATCACTCTGTAGAATGAGACTAACCCACTGTATTACCCAAGAGGTTGAATGTAGATTACACAGTAAATATGATTCTGTGAGTTCAGCTGTTCGAATAAAGTTTTAATGTACACTTGTTGCAAGTGATAACAGTTCACTGAAGACTGTGCAGACTGTCTGTAGCAGGAGTCAATAAGACAGGAGAATATGCAATTCAGTTGAATAGGCCTTTGCAAAAACTTCCACCAAAGACTTTCCCAATAATATCATCCTCATGTAGTACCAGGCAATGTCAAATTCTTATGTATAAACTATATGAAATAAATTTAATCTACAGAGAGGCAGTTTGCTGTGACACTGAGTTTGTAAAACTAGACATGGAAGTGTTTCTATGTATTGTGAATTATGCTTTTATAGTGGAATATTGAAATAATATGCATCTACTTAAACCACTAGAAAAATTAAGATATAATACTGACAGGAACATCTCTTTCCCTAATATTAGCACATTATCTATGTCAGCACATCAAAGAGAAAAACACACCTCTCAAACTATTAATGCCCAATTAATTTGTGAAGACATAAAAAGGGCTTTAGGCTCTTTCCCATCTGTAAGGTATTATTCTGGAGATCAGAGATCAACAGTATTAAGAGTTTTAAATTTTCCACCCACATCTGAAATTCCAACTGTTTCAAAGGTAGCCTTTCAGAAGCTTTATTAATTCTCTTACTAATTTTAGAAGTCTTCTGACAAGTGTGGAAGAGTATCTGTTTAGGAGATGGGAAGCAGAATTTAAAAGCTACTTGATATTGAGCCAAAGTCCCAAGCAGTTGGGTGGTTTGAATCAATCAATCCCAACTGCAGAAATGCTCAGTTCATATCAAATGAATCATACAGATATTCACATCTTTTTATTTTATACTCAGCACACCAGCACAGATTCTTCCTCAAGTCTTAATGTCAAGAACTGCCAGTGCTTTATTTAAGATGAGCCTTATGTACTATTGTGATATTAAACTGCTTGCAAACACAGAGTCCTTATGCTGTTCATACTTTATAATGTTACCTTAGGGAACTAGAACTGTTTCCACACATACTGTTTTCAAAATGCAAAGAGGAAACCCAAATAACCAGCAGAAGTTATTCTAAGGCACAAACAGATCTCGGCACCACCACTCACGGAGTAACATTTCAAAGAGGAGTTTTTAATTACACAGCAGTGCTAAGTCACAGCCATCATGCGTAGGACATGTGCTGATGCTGGGCACGGCAACATCAGTTCATCCCGGCTGCAAGCAACAAAAAAATCACTGTAGTTGTGCAATCTTATGACAAGCATATGGCCAGAATAATAGCACTCACTCTGCAACTACTACTCAGTTCCTATTAGAGGATTATAACTCGTTATTCATGAGCACTAATGCCATCTAGACACAGTTTTTAAATCTCTCTCAGGAAGTGTTAAAAATGCTAAGAACGTTGCCGTGGTAGCAGACATATTATATTTAGTAGATGAACTCTGAAGTATTCCATTGCATTAGTTAAGCATTCCACTATATTTATAATACTCAAACGATTTTGTTTTTGTAGAAAACCATCAGCATCCAGACTACAAATGACAACAGGGAAACAAAGAGCTCACATTCTATTGAGGATCCTTCAGGAAGCTGTAAGTCTGAGTGCTGACACAGTTAATGTGTTGTTATGAGTACCTCTTCTGAAAGTGAAAGGCAGAGCTTTCATAACAGTATGAAGTTTCCTAATTCTTTTGCCTGAGCTCCAGAGTTACATATGCTAAAAAAATCTTGTCAATTGCAAGGTACATGTTATATACAAATGAATAAAAATACAGTCCTAATTCACATTTATAAAATATCTGCTTTTGTTCCTTAAACAGTAACAGTACAACGTATTTTGTTCAGAATGATTTTATTTGGATTATAGCAATTAGTATCACTGATCAGTAGGCCAAGTCCAGGCAGAGAGCACAGAATCAATTTCACAAGGCAACAACACAGACTAGTATTTTAGCATACCAACCATTTCACTGCATTATCAAGTTGAAATATCTTTCAACCATGCATAAAAAGTCTATGCTTCATCTTTCAGAGCTCCAGGTAATATCAGATTCCTAAATATACAAAAAATACATTTAACTTATAATAATCTTAGTGAATCAGACTTATAAAATTACAATTTTATTCTTCACAACATAGAAAAAAATACAAAAATGACTGTATATAGTTTTCACCCAAATTTCACTGACATATACATCAAAATGCATGATTTGATGTATACTCATGAAAATTTTAAGCTGAAAAAGGTTTTCAAATGACACCGCAGATTGGTCCACACAAATGTCAACCTTCATTATGATAACAAAAAACCCCACCTTTAATAGAAACATCACATTGTGAAAAATTACAATTCATCTGCACTGTAACCTGCATCTTACTGTAATTTACAATATGAACATTTCTACAATTCCAGTTGTAAACTATACACTGGTAAGAGCCTTGGTCTTTTAGAGGGTAGTGAGTAACTCAGACAAAGCCAGCATGGTAGAACATAAAGTGCTGTCAACTGAACCAGTGCACACAACAGAGACACCAAAGCAGAGAACGCCTGCTGGTTTGGATATGCTGATAGAGAACATGCAAGCTAAGTAAATAGTCTGTGGGGAAAATAAAACCCTCTACATTTGTGACAAACAGTACCAATCAAAGCTTCTGTTATAGAGTTCACACAAATCACATCACCACTTCAGTGACAGATGAGGGGAAATTTCTTATTTTATGAGGAAAAACCCCACACGTGTGACCAAAGTCAATAGGAACAACCCAAAGAGGATTAGGGCATCACACTACAGTTCTCACTCAAGATCACCTTCCAGTGATTTCCAGGGAAGATAAACTTGAAAAAGCACTGCAAGATGAAGTGCTGAATTTTTGTACATACTAACTGCATGTTCATACTTCAGAGTATAATTTATAAATCAACTTTGCTGATAAAATTTCTTACTAGCAAAGCAATTTCTTTAAAAAGTCTGCAGTTTATTTGCATTTGTGTGGTAAATTAATATTTTCAATTAAAGTAAATATTCCGTGATAAAGCTTATTCAGTAAAGGTGTTGGTCGTACAAATTTCCTCCCTACTGGCAGCACGCTCTGCTTTTCCATGGTGCCAGTGCTATCTGATTGTACTGTACACAGATCTGGACTATATCTTTCTCATCAGCAGAGCCAGCAGTTTGTTTCATATTGGAGTATTACACAGTCATTTTTTTTCCTCCAAATTGGACCAACAAATTTGAAACCAAATCTTTTATTTGGGCCCAGAAATCAAATTAAGAAAGTTCAGGAGCTGAGCATCAACAATATCCAATAACCTAAGTACATCAGGAAATCAGATCTTTTAGATGGCATCCTTCAGAAATACTGACATCACTTTCTTTAACAGCAAGTATAAGCAAAAGATGTTTTGTTCGGAGGTGGAAATTTACACTTTCAAACAGTTCAGTATAATGTAACATTTCTCAGATGACTACAACAAAGCACATAACCTAATGCAGAAATTAACTGAACTGTTGCATCTTCGAATCCAAAACCAGTCTGAGGCTGTATATGGCCACAGTAATAGAATCACAGAATTGTTTAGGTTGGAAAAGACCTCCAAGGTTATCAAGTCCAACCTAACACTGCAAAGTCCCACTAAACCATGTCCTTAAGCACCACATCTACACTTCTTTTAAATACCTCCAGGGATGGTGACTCCACCACTTCCCTGGACAGCTTGTTCCAGTGCTTGACAACCCTTCTGATGAAGAAATTTTTCCTAATATCCAATCTAAACCTTCCCTGGTGCAACATGAGGCACTTTTCTCTTGTCCTATCACTCGTAACTTGGGAGAAAAGACCAACACCCACCTTGGTACAGCCTCTTGTATTTTTGAATAGTCAATAATAGGCTCCAAAGTGTTTAAAATAGAAGCAAAGATTATTATTGTTTCTTACCCTCTCTCTGCTTATTATAGCCCTGTTTGTATCTAAACAGGAAATGTGCTATATACTGAGAATTAGGAAAATTCAAACCTTTTGATGGAATCAAAGAAAATTACTGAAAAATGAAAAGTTTTTTAAAAAATATAGCTCTGACAAGCATAAACCTAAATAATTGTAAATCCAGCTCTTCCCAAGTGCTAGAAAAGAAAGCCTGTGCCCTCAGTACTTACTGGCTGTGTTTAGGGAGAGCTGGGATGTGTTGAGCACGTCCAGGGGGAGGTGCTGGCAGGCACAGCACGAGCTCAGTACTGCAGGTAGCGTGGTACGGGTCACACCTCATTGATGCACCAAATCATAATGTTGTAAGAGGGAAGCCAGAGAAGCCCATGTGGTGGTGTCTAGTGACCCTGACTGGGTTCACACAACACTATTGGGCTATCAATTCCTAACAGAGCAAAGGCCATAACCTACATTTCCTTTTCTCTTTGCTTGGGTATCTGTTCATTTCCCTGCTCCCTTTGCCCCTTCCATTCCCTACCCTTTTGGCCCCGTCAAAAGTTTCTTAATAACCTGGGGCACTACTCACACAGCATTAGTGCTTTCTGCCTCACTACAAGGCTTTCTTGTTCTCTGTTTTACCTTCCCAAGGGAAAGCTAAGCCAGAGAACCCAGAGGAAGCACCAAGGAAAATATAACTTTGTGTTCTTCCACTCTTCAAAGAGAACAGATGACGAAAGGCTTGTCCAGTCTGCAAAAGCAGCATGTAACACATGAGATAATCTGTTTTCAAAAGAGCAGCTTATGACTTTGCAACACTTCAGAAGCTGAGTGCCTGGAACTGCCTGCTTGAATGTGCCACAGTGATACAAACCAGTCACTTAAGAAAAGTTAGGCTGAGAAACAAGGCCCCCAGATAATTCCACAGCAGACCAAATAGTCCTCCTCACTGAAAGATGAGTATCACTGACAGTGATTAAAGATGATAATTTAAGTAAAAAAGGGAGAACTGCACACATTTCTGGTGACTTGCCTCCTTATCTTGTTTAGATTCATTACCGGTATCACTAGAAATATTATAGTTAGTATTACTTTTAATTTTTTTTAATATGTAAAAAAGTATCCAGGGATGCAGTAATTAAAAGGATTTTTAATGTTTCAGATAAGCATTACCGCCTCTGAATTAACATTTGCATTTGTGTACTCAGCTTAAACAAGATCTTCAGAGAACACACTCTGGTCAGACACTGTACTGTTTAAATTCCTAAAGAACTACATTCCCCTCATTTCCCGTAATTGGTTTCTTGTTCTTGTTCCCGTCACCTTTTAAATACACAACCTACCTTTCTAAATTCAAACACTTTAGCCAGATTACATTCTCCACTGAAGTCTCTGACATTATCCTGAAATATTCCAGAGCATATTGTTTGCTTTCACAGCAATACATACAGTTTCTGGCATGCAGTCAAGCACTTAAAAAAAAGAGGTATTGGTAATATAATCCCAATTCAGGCATTTAGTGGGTACAACTTCATCACTCATACTGCAACCTTCAGGCATTTAATAATAAATGAAAATCATTTAGCACATCATTTAAGGAAAATGTTAACTGCCAAGCCATATAAAGTTTAAAAGTTTTCTGAAGCACTGTTAAGCTTAGAATACTTCAATGTTTTACACTTGGGATTTCAGTGGAATCAGATTTATTGGTTATTCTTGCTAAATTATTGGTCTTTTACCTCTGACTTATCTTGGTATTCTTTACAAATGTGCTGGGTATTGAAAAACTGCAGCATTTTGATGTTTGAAAAGTTCTGAAAAAGTGTTGGAATTACTCCGACTTCCTATGTTCTTCAGTGTGGGAGAGTACCTTTCGCCTCTGGTGTAGCATATGAAAATACAGCTGAGGAAAGACTGAAGAGAAAACAGATTCAAGTCAATAAAGTTTGAAGCGAGGTTTGCAAGTCAATGTGAGATGCAGATTCACACAGCCAAGGTCACTAGTTCTCCATTAAAAGAGAACATGCTTATCCACTTTTTGCTCAAGTTATCTATTGCCTTTTACACTTTAAAGAAGTGCTATGATTCTTAGGCTTCAGGTATTATCTATTTTTTGCTAGAGCAATCACATTTTTAATGAAATGCAAAATGCCATATTTAACTCTGCCTGTACAAGTAGATGACACGCACACAACAGAAAGAAAAATGATTGCAGGGAGGAAAAAGCCTTTCCAAAAGCATGAAATTTCCAGATTTGTTTCATTTCTTGCAATTCTAGTGTTGCTTTTTCAGAATACATGTCATTTTATATGAACTGGTGCCTCTTTTCTCTCTCTATCCTCCACGCAAAGCCTTTTCTCCTCTTGTTTCTAAGATTACGTTACACAGTCTGTTTGCAGAACAACAAAGTAGGGGACGGAACATAAACAGCAAAAGCTAAAATTTCCATGAGGCATTCAACCTTTGTGAACCGTACAAAAATTAAACAAGGTCATCAACAGCCTAAATCAGTTATATGTATGTTAATCCCACAATTATTAGCTTTTCCATTACAGCTAGTAATAGTAAAAAAACCTAACAAATTCATACTTACTTGGAATGTAAGAGATCATAACCAGGATCAAGAATGTATAGTAGTCAAAAGAGAAATTGTACTTGTTAGGTAAACTAATGGAATACAAGCCAGACTGCCTGACGAAGGGTAATGCAGCATATATTGTGAGTAATTCGCCTGAGACTCCCATTGGATACAATACTATAAACAAAGTGTACCTAGAATAAAACATTTACAGAAAGAATTAAAAGTTACAACAAACTCTGACAAAGTATTTGTTAAATGATATTATAGATATTCAAATTTTAAATTCTCAACTCAGTATTTATTTTCCTTAGTTCTTATTTGATTAGAGCATGGCAAGGTGTGAACGTTATTTCAAGCTAAGTGTCCAAATCAGCAAATAGTGTGAAATATATAAAGATTACCTTTGAGAATCTAAATATTACCTGTAAAACTATTCTTCCCCCCTCCAAATTTACTATTTTCATTTGGTGGAATGTCATTATACTACTCTTTGGTGGAGGTCATTATACTACTGAAAAGGGTGCCAAATATAGTTGATGTTAATCAATGAGCTTAAAGATTATTTCAAGAATAACCCTTGGATTCAACAGTTATGGTTAAATGTCAGTTTACTTACTGTCACTCCTTACTGTTAAATATCCATTTCCTTACTGTCACCCCTTACTGTTAAATATCAGTTTCTACTCTTTCAGCTTACAATGAAATAGATCTTTTTTAACTCCAAAATGTGCTAGAAAGAAGCTGGGAAGTCACATTCACAAACAGGGCAATTACCTCAAGGCAAAATCTAATTTTTTGTACTGCAGCTATTTTACAGGATAAATATCTCTGTCAAATCAGTGCTTTAAGGCTGTGATTTCTATTGTGCTACCAACCTGGCCCATTTGATGAGATAAGGGAGATGGTTTAACAAGCTAAACGTGTAAAAAGAGTAGCGGATAATCTCAGTGATTGTCCAGGCCACTACAAACAAGAGGACACTGTCTTCAGTTTGTACCTGTGAGAAAGAAAAGAAAGCTCAGTATCAATTCAAGCATTACCAGTTACTCACCAGACCCAAGAAAACCTCACAGAAATCAATTCCCGTGGGTTGCTTTACTGCATCATTTTAGAGAACAGACTCCAAGAATGAGCTTAAAAGCAAAATTAGTAACAACAGTACAAAAACCTTCTTATCACGCTCTGTATTTTTCTAGTTGCTTAAGAACAGCTCTGCTTCGAGATCAGGTAACTTAAGATCTCACATTCTGAGCAAGGTAAATTGGTACAAGAAATCCTGAAAATACTGAATATAATTCAGAACTCTTCCCATTCATGAACAGTACCAACTCCTATTTCAGTCCTATGATTGTTTCCTAGTGCAGCAAGCAGAAATGATGATTATTCTTACACTGGATATCTCATTTACACTTTGTATTCTGCTCCTGTTCATGCTACTTCTGAGTAGAAACCCTGTTTTCCTCTCCCTACAGGTGAGAAACTGGGCCCTACTTTTAAGCAGCACCAAAAGAGCTAACACCAGAATCAAGGCTGGCAGGAGAGACGAAACAGCAGCTCAAATTGTCTCACCTCAGGTAAGCTTGACAACTACGTGATTCGCTCTTCCTTGCTCCATTTTCTGCCCATTGTATCTAGCATAGTTCCTCTAATGTTACACTCAAGGCACTGCTTCAGGTTTCACTGCTTTACACCTCCTGGAGCTTTTGTCAGTTACACATCACTGAACCAGCTTTGATTCTCCCCATATTTTGAAGGTTAATCTTCAGAAGCATGTGTTTTAACATGAATTGTTATATTTATTAGATTTTGGATCATCATTATGAGGTTCAAGTTTCAGATGGAGTAACAGTGATTAAGTGGTGGATATGGGGTCACACGCCTGGCACTACAAATTCTTGAGAGAACAGACATGATTTTTATGCAGTCTTTCCCCTCTCCTTCAAGCCTCCAACAGATTTCCCAGCTGTACAAGTACCTTGAGCTCCAACAAAAAGAGCTCAACCGTGGGAACAAAAAGAGCTCAACAACAGGGCCTACATTTTCTCTTTTCCTCCAACTCTTGAAAAAAGGGAAAAGGAAGTCTGTAGGTGTGGGTGGTGCACTCTATTCATCTTGAGCAAAGTACATGTACCAGAAAAAAAAAAAAAAAAAAAAAAAAAAGGAACAAAAATAATAGGAGGGGACTGATCATATATTTTTGTATGAAAACAGTCATGAGGATTACCCAGAGAAAGCTTTGTTACAGACTGCAAAACCCAGGAAAATTTGTACATAAATCTTGAGCTATCCTGGAATGTAGGGCTGCTGTTAGTCTGTGTTCTGCTGCATGTAACACTTCAGGTCACTTCTACTGCATTTTGCAGCAAACACACCTTGTTCATTTTACACATGAAACTCTGAAAATTTATTTATATATTAATCTACCTTGCATCATCATAAAAGAGCAAAATCCAAAAATTATTTGAAGATTTTCAGACAGGAGTCCAAATCTATTTTTACATCGCTACAGAATCCTAATCCTATTTGAAGTCTGCTTCATAAGCAAGACTTAGTTCTTAACAGGGAAAAGCTAACAACACTTCATAGATGATGCTGTTCCAAAGGAGCAACGTGCTTCACAAGCACTCCACAGCTGCATCTTCTGGTCAAACTGGGAGTAGCAGCTTAGTGAGTTCATCTAAATGTGTCATGGACTTCAACCCTTACTTAGAAACTCCACTTCTTTCTTTCCCTAGCTGTGGGAATCAGTAAAGTCAAGAAACAAAAATTTTTAGCTTGAAGTAGCATCCAAGGACACGAGCAAGGACAAGAACCTAACAGTGAATGATACAGGTGGAAGTAGAAAATCTGGCAGTTACAATCCAGGTCTGTCACAGGACTTCTGTAACACTGCCTTCACAGGTCTAGTCTTCCCCACGTACTTTAAGTTATTAAAACAGTTTGCATCGTTATGAAACACACACACAACCCTGTTAAGGTCACTTAAAGCATTACTGATTGTGCTTTATAGCTTGTGTCCCTATTTAAGGAAGAAAGAATACTGGAAATGGGTGGTTATCATTAAAAAGTATGGTTTTTACACACTCATATCTGTCACAAGTCTGTTGCTTGTTGCTATTAGAATATCTCTTCAAGCACTGACAATTTTTCAGTAGCTCAAATAAAGATGTCTGAGATGCACATTATCAAACCCCTGGGAACTGATTTACAAAACAGTCTTATTAATTCAGGCACTGCTAATGCTGCATCTGCATCATTCCTCTTCCAGGTTGAAAATAAGGGGGATAATACAGCAAAGACACAGTAGACCTTCAATAAACCACTGAACCCAATGCTGCCCTCAGAACTCAGTTCTTCTTCCTCTACTCTTTTCATGCCAGTCTTTCAAGGAAGCATTAAACACAAGTCAAAACACATTTTACACTTGATTTACACCTTATTTGTCCAACTGCCTTAATAGGGGTCAATCATACAACAGGCATAATTTTTTGGCATGTATTTCAAGCCAATATATCATCAAGTAGGGTCCTGAATATACTTTAGCTTATCTTCAATACTGTGAATAGCAGAAAATGTTGGTTAAAATATAAAACAAACCACAGCCTTTTAAGATGCAAAGATGAGAACTGGGAGTTGACAAAATAAAGCCTGAGAGGTTTTTAATGTTTCCTTATGTATGGAAAGGGAAATTTCTTCATGTTAAGAGTAACAGTTTGACAAATTTGCAGAAAATTTCAGCTAAACACATAATTGAGCAATCCAGTCCAGAAGAGTAAAACCAGCAGCACTATGCAACTGTAATCGTGAAAACTGCTGGAACAGCATATCTCCGTCCAAAACGCTGGTTCTCTGGTGCAGTAATTAAAAAATAAAAAATTTAAAAAAAAAAAGAAAAAAAAAGATTTTACATAGATGTAAAGCAGTGATGAATCAGGCTTTTTGACTGCACTCAGCAAGAGTTCTGAATTTTCCAGCATGGACTTCCTTTACTAGAAGTTAATCTTAAATACCATGAATTAAGATGTTCTTCCCTCTTTAAGTAAGTATGCTTTGCAGATTGAAGATATCAATTCACAACTGTAGATACTAAAGTCTTAATTACCACCTCCATATGCTGTACATGTCATCTCCACAGCATCTATAGACTGTGTGTTCTAGAAAGGTTCCTCTAAATATGCACTATTTTTATCTGCAACTTATCTGTAACTGAACTCAATGGGATAAGCAATAAATCCCTGCTGACACCATTTTTTAATTACCCATCAGAACTGGGTACAGAATTATCCATCAGAATGGAACTCTACAAAGGTCTGCCATGATGTCACCAGATGATCTCACTGTTCACACAAATTCAGAAAGACATCTTTTGAACTGAAGGGCACTTTCTGTTCTCCTATGCCTACACCCTCCTAGCCCTTCATGCCAGGCTGCTCATGCTCTTCTCTCCTTTGTAGGGGAAACAGTAAAATTCACTGAACTGATTCCTTTCTGGTGTAATGACAAAATGATAACAAGTACCGTATGATGTGCCAGACCCTCCTCCACTACACCAACAACTGGAGTTAAGGTGGAATCATGGTGGAGTTAAGGGGAATCTCATTGCTACCCAAGGAAGTGTGCAGTGCTTTAACATTTGCCATGCTTTAACATTTATTATAAATAATTTCATATTGAGTTTAACAACACATCAGCACTGAAGTCAACAAAAAGCACAAACATGTTAGTGGCAAGGAGCATGCTTCAAATCACATCACATATCTAGAAGTGTATCCTGACAGAGAGGAGGGATGCAATACACGTTTCTTCTTTTAACTACATTATATATGAAAACAGTCTGGAAAAGCAAGATACTGAACAAGTCTCACTCCAAGAGTTAAAGAGAAAAACTGCATTTTATTTTACAAGAACCTCATCATGCAACTGCATAGCTTACAAGTTCCATAAAGCTGTGTGAGAATTTAATCCTGGACTTCACCATGGAGCTCACTTGTGCAGACAGCCCTTTAGAAAGAGTAGAACACTTGTGACACTTGCAATACATCTCCCCAGGTGAGACTGCATGCTCCCTGGCTGGGGGAAGGGGAGGGGTCAGAATACAGCCTCTTATTTATTTGCTCTAAGTCACAGGTCAAAAACTCATCACAGGATTCCTCATCCTTACCATTCTTATGCCCACTTTCTAAAACATTAAAAAAAAGTAACACATAATATAGTCTATTGCGAGAGTTTAACCAAAAGATGACACAAGTGTGAGGAAGAAAAATCTGCATTTAACATTGTTGAAAGAACCCTTGATAAAAGTCGAATGTTAGGCTAAACTCATTGCTCCCGTTTTCTCCCATTTCGCCGGTTTTCTCCGGTGAGAATGTGGGCATAAGTTTCAAAAAAACCTTACCCACAATCATATTACAGGCTTTTCTTTGATGACAGACAACATGTGGAATACTTCTAATCCATGCAATCTAAGCTTCAATATTTGGGTTACTTCAAAACCAGGAGACAATTCGTAAAAAAATTTTAATGTTTTTTTATGAAGCATCAGATATCCCAACATCATACAGGTAACAAGAAAAACTACAAGTATATTTCTTTAAAAGTATTTTACACGTGTATCTTAAATCTAATGTTTTGGAATTATGGCTTTTTTTTGTTCAAAATCTAGAATTTATTTCAGTGAATTGACAGAGACTGAAGTACATCAATTTGCACCAAAAGGGAAATCCATCAGAAGTAAAATATTTATAAGATTTTAAGTTTATTGAGAAAAATAACATTCCTCTGCTTTATACCATGAAACTAAGATTTCATGTGAACAAACATCATAATATCAGAAAAGGCAGTTAATTAATAGGAACTACAATGACTTACATTACTCTACATGTAGATGGATGCTCTGGTAACAGGTTTGGAGTAAGGAAGAGAAAGCAGCTTCCCTGAAGACTTGGTAGTGAGAGAAGCTCCTTAAACATTCTCCATGTCAAGTCACAAATGATCTTATAAATATAATGACACGAGATGACTGTCACTTATTTCAGGCACCCATGCTGACACTGGCATCAAGGATAATTTCTTTAACAAGAAGAAACTCCAGCACAGATGCAGCATATTTGGGCTACTACAAGGTTTCAGATGACATGAAAGAGTCAGTCAGCATAACCTGTACCAATTAGAGCATGTTTAGATTTTAAAATAGCTGCCAGGAATAATTTAAAAAAAACATGGAATCTACCGCAAGGTTCTACAGAGATCTGTATAAAGTACAGCACTACCGTGTGATGAGCAATAACACACAGGCCCCAAAACCCACCTACACTTGAATGTAAGAAAATTGAATGAGGGACAGAGGAAAGATTATCCTGGAGAGTGACAAGGGAGAGCATCAAGGCACTGTTGTGGACAAACAGCTGAGGGGGAGCTTCAGAAGCCTTGGAACAGAAAGTGAATTGTGTATGCAGGAAGGGGGCAGAGAGGAGATGTTGCTATTAGTTATGGCACTAATGAGATCAGTACTAAAATGTTGTCCCAAATTCTGGGCTCTGTATTACACATTGAAACCTCTAACTTCCAGTAAGGACTGGAAAATCTATTCAGGAGCTAGATGTCTTACAGTGAGAGAATCAGACCATGCTCTCTTTGACTGTCAAGAAAAGATGCCTTCAGGTCTATTTTTATTTCTTTTGATCCACAGAAATTCACATAAACAATTTCAAATGTAGGGATACAAACAGAAGACATTTTAAAGAAAATAAGACAGTGATCAACACTTGCTTTTCAGAATGGATCAACAGTTTTTCTATCCATTTGGTAGCTTGACTTACCTCTTTTACACTGTGTGTTACTGCCCACGTCAGGAAAACCCTTGACATCACTTGGAAAGCAGTCAGAACAACAGAAGAGGGAACAATGCCTGAAAGATATTTTGCAATTAGGAAAATAGTCCTGACTACCAGGGTGAGAGGTAGGGGTGGGGAAATAAAACACAAAGTCTAGTTATTTGAAATTTTTGGCAGGAAAGTATGTAATTTTTTTTTTAATTTGAAAGTATTAAGTCTGTCCCATGATATGTTTATACAGCCTAATGCAATGCAATCCCCTGACAAGACTTTCTGCATCAAAATGCAAATAAAAGTAATTGGTCTTGTTGCAATCACAGCACATTCCTTAATACAGGAATAAGATGAGATAACTTCAATCGAACAGCTTCTGGGATACAGTCTTTCAAATAAACAGCTTTGATTAAAATATCGAAGATACTCTTCATACTGTGATTTAAAAAATAAAAACAATAAAGAAGTTTTGCAGAATATATCCCAAAAACCAGCAAGCAAAAAAGTATTTTGCAGAAACACTAATCTAGCTCATATTCTGGTAGATACAAAGTTTATAATTCCTTCCTGGAAATACAACTCAAAAAAACCCCAAACCCACAACAAACAAACCCCAAGAAATAGCTGATGCATTGGTAGGTACAGAAACAACTTGAAGATTTCTCAAGGAAGCAGATATCACTGGTTCTTCCAAGCAAGTTCTGAGGTGCAGATTAAACTTCCAGTAAAAGCATCCTACATACTCAGGTCTCGCAGAGCAGGAATAGTTTTAGAGTGCAAATTACACAAAATTTCTAAACTTTGCATCAAAAAGTTTTATTTGCTTCCAATAGCATGATGAAGATGAATGCAAGAGCAGGTACAGCTACTAAGTTACAGTAAAAAGTGCTTCTAAAACCAATGCAGATCACAACAAACAACACAAAAAAGCCTCAGGAAGATGTCAAGACCAAAGTGGGAAAGTGGAAGAGAAAGAAAGAATAAGAAAATCCCAAAGCAAATTTCATTAGAATTATTTTAATCGACATGTTAGGCTTCTTTCAGAGTACAAAGAAAGGAAAATCCCACAAACACAGTTCTCCCCAGTTTTATCACATATTGTTCATAATCTAATAAATGTTGTAAAACCTCAGGGTAGAATTGGTGTCCGTTCTCAGACAACACTAAAGGGGTGCTAAAAAACATCACAATCGGTACTTGTTAAAGGCTCTTTCCTATGAGAGTAACACACCTTTTCTTTTATACAATTGAGATCATCCCCTCCTAAACAAGACAGCCTATGTTCCTGCAAAGGAATCTATAAATAAGCCAAAATGACTGTGTAGGAACCATCCAAGATTATCTTAAGTTAGACAAACAAGGTTTTTCATTATAGCCATGACAATGCCAATCTGTGCCAAAAACAGGAGGTCAAAGTAAGTGACTCACCAGCTACAATTCATGTAAACTTTATTTGCCTCTAATTATTTACTCACTGCACTCAACAGGTACCTGATAGTCAATCTGAAGCTTGTTATTTTTAAAAACATCTGTCATCACTTGTACAACACTTCACATGCTAGAACAGTGCTTGACAGAGGGCTCAGGTCTGTAACCAGGAAGCAAGTAAGCCCCGCCCAGATTTCTTCCAGATCCTGGACTAAGCCTCCCATCTCCAGCAGGAAATCCTCCAGCTCCCAACAAGTGCTTCCTCTGGCCCAGTGGGTTCCCAGTTGAGAACAGGATGTGTGCACAGCTTACAGGTCCCAAGTCTCTCGAATTGAGCAGGCTAAAGCAAAACCAGTGAACCAGCGTTGACTTTGGCTTACCAGAGAGTCACTGGTGAACAATGCTATGGGAGAAAGGCTGGGTCTGCAGTGATTCTGCAGGATGGGCCTGTACTCACCAAGACTCAGCAATTCAGTCCATCACACAGCAACCGGTGAAGAATGAATTGGATACTGCCCCCACTGTAGGAGAAACCCTCAAGGCCATACAGCAGGTGAAAACTGGCAAGGCAGCTGGGGTCGATGGAATTCCACCCAAAGTCTGGAAACATGGGGGCCAAGCACTCCATGCTAAATTTCACAAGTTTGTGGTGCACTGTTGGGAGCTCGGTGAACTACCATCAGACCTTTGTGATGCAGTCATCATCACTTTGTATAAGAAGAAAGGAGTTAAATCAGACTGCTCAAATTACCGTGGTATTACTCTGCTCTCCATTGCTGGCAAAATCCTGGCAAGAATACTCTTGAACAGACTAATACCCACTAGAGCAGAAGGAATTCTACCTAAAAGCCCGTGCGGTTTCAGAGCCAACAGGAGTACCACAGACATGGTATTTGTTCTCAGACAACTGCAAGAGAAGTGTAGGGAACAGAACAAAGGTCTCTATGTAACCTCTGTCGACCTCACCAAGGCTTTCGATACTGTGAGCAGGAAAGGTCTATGGCAGATTTTGGAACGTTTAGGTTGTCCTCCAAGTTCCTTAAAATGATCATCTCACTCCATGAGGATCAGCATGGCCAAGTCAGATATGGCAACGCACTTTCTGAGTCCTTTCTAATTACCAATGGTGTGAAACAAGGCTGCGTTCTTGCACCAACCCTATTCACAATCTTTTTCAGCAGGATGCTCCAAAGGGCCACGGCAGACCTCAATGATCAGGACGGTATCTACATCTGATACCGTACTGATGGAAGTCTATTCAACCTAAGGCAACTGAAGGCCCACACCAAGACCTTAAACCATCTCGTCCGGGAGCTGCTTTATGCTGATGACACTGCCCTCGTTGCCCACACAGAAGCAGCTCTGCAGCGTTTAACATCCTGCTTTGCAGACACTGCTGAGCTCTTTGGGCTGGAAGTCAGCTTAAAGAAGACAGAAGTTCTCTATCAACCTGCACCTCAGGAAGTCTTCCATCCCCATATCACCATTGGCGAATCAGAGCTCAAATCAGTCCAGCAGTTTAATTACCTAGGCAGCCTCATCTCCTCGGACGGTAAGATTGACAGAGAGATAGACAACAGGTTAGCAAACAGGTTAGCAAAGACATACAGTGCCTTCAGAAAGCTTCATAAAAGAGTTTGGCGAAATAAACACCTGAAGAAAAGCACAAAGATCAGTGTTTACAGAGCCATAGTGCTGTCTACTCTCTTATACGGATCTGAATCATGGGTCATCTACCGCCACCACCTGCATCTCTTAGAGTGCTTCCATCAACGCTGCCTCTATACAATCCTAAACATCCACTGGTCAGATTATGTGACCAATACATCTGTTCTAGAACAAGCAGCAGTCACAAGTATTGAGGCCATGTTGCTGAGAACACAGCTGTGCTGGGCAGGGCACGTCTCCAGGATGAAGGACCACCGCCTCCCTAAGATCTTGCTTTATGGTGAACTTGCCACTGGCTGAAGCAAGAGAGGAGCCCCGAAGAAAAGATACAAGGACTCCCTGAAACAACATCTCAGCCTCGGCCATATTGATCACCATAACTGGTCTACTCTGGCCTCAAATCGGGAGGTCTGGAGACACACTATCCATAACGCTGCTGCTTCTTTTGAGAAAGCACGCAGGATCACTCTCGAGGAGAAAAAACAACACAAAGAATTGTGTCTTGCAGAATATACCACCTAAGGAGTCTTTCTGCTGTGCCTTTTGCAATCAGTTATGTCTGTCTCGTATTGGCCTTTTTAGCCACCAACGTGCCTGTAACAAATGTGGGTAGAGCCCTTCCCGGATCTTCGTTCCCAAAGCCCAGCCATGATGATGGGTCCCTCCTCTTGGTCTCTGGGCTATGTGTTCCCTCCTTCCCATGTGAGCTCTCCTTAATTTTTTAAATCTTTGCCACATGTCAAAGTTCTGCTCTCAACCATGCTAGACAGATATTCCCCTATCAATCTTCATATTTTGAAGGACTTGCCTCACAGATGCTAACATTTCAGATTCTGCTGAAAAGATGTGGAGAGAAAAGTTATGCTGATACACACAGCCATCTGTCACAGATAAGCTCCTCTATTGATGGAGAATTACAGCTCTAGTTAGAGCAATTAGTTTAGTTGGGGCAAAGGAATCTGCAAATTGCCTGTTTCTCCTTGCATAGAAACTTTTGCCAGAGTCAGTAGGACTACAGCAAACATCAGCAGTGCATCCAGCTGTGCATAAGTCCCTCTCTTTATTTAGCTGACAAGTGTTTCCATTAACAGAAAAAAAAAAATCCATGGCCAGTTATAAGAAAATAAGTATTTTGTAAAAAAATTTCATTAGGGAAAGCAAATAGATAGACTAATAATGGTATAAAATGTTGCAGCCTTCCCCTAACGGCTCTCTTCACTAATATTAAATTGTGCTACTGAGGATAACATGGGCTAAATGGATCCACATCTCAAATCAACTGAGCCAGAATTATTAGTTTTGTTCACAGACCAGCTGGTATAATCATCTTGCTTGCTGTTCTGCATCAGCCTGGAAGGTGAAACACAGGACTTTCTCCTGCTATTCATTGATTTGTATGGACATAAGTATGAGGAAAAGATAATCTAATTAAATTTTTTACACTCTTAGATTTAGTACTAGTAAACATTGGTGTCTGCACACAAGTTTAGCTTAAGAAAATAACACAGCATTACTGATTTAGGACAGTAAAACCAGCATTTTATCTGCAAGGTTTTTTTCCCAGTGTTCCAAGACTTAACTTGTCCTTCTTGCCACTTGTTAAATAAGACTTCAAAACTGGCATATTTTAATATTAATTTCTGAATTTTTTTTAAAGCATGGTTTATTCTTGTAAAAACCAGTAACTGAGATTTAGTAAAATTAAACAGCATTGTAAGGACTGCCTTGGCAGCACAGGCAAGTAGATGATACGTATAGCTTACTCTGAGAAGCCTTTCCATTAATTTGAGGGGCATATATGATCATTAATTTCTTAGGATGATCTGTGCACAGCCTACAAACCGCCCTTTAAGACAGCGTTTTCAGAGAAACCGATTATTCAGGAGGTTCAGAACTACTTCATCAACTACAGAACCAGACTGCCCTCTGCTGACACATTCCTGTATACAAGTTTAAGTTTTCCCAACTGCCTCACTTGGTTATTAAAAAAACCCCACAGGAATTCAATATGAACCCACAATCTAACAGACCCTTCAGTATGTGGACTGTTTGTACAATATATATGAAAAACATGAAAAACAGCAAGTTAGTAGTTGCAGTTTTAGGAACCTTAATGCCATTTTACTCTTTAAATAGTGGCTAGTGAACATCCAGACAGGAGCTCAAGCTAGTTTTCTCATTAGGAAAAACTAGTGAGTTAAGCAAGATTAAATCTATCAATTCACAGACCATGACATTTTTCGTGCTAATACATTGCTAAAATTGCAGTCTTCTATAACAATAATAAACTGAAAATTTGCAAGCACTTACCAAGTGCACAGTGCAGAATCTAGAACAAAAAGAAAAATTCAAATCACTAATATTTCAAATTAAGCAATTTAGACACACATTTAGTTCTATTACAAGAGCTTAAGATTCAATATTTGCTTTTCAAAGATTAAGCTTAATATTTACCTCTGCTGCCCATGCTAAATAGCAGACAGCAAGTTCCCTCACCTCTTGCTAAAAGGAAAAATTCAGTATTTGTGTGAGGTGTATTTCCTGTGTTTACTTTCAAATCACTCCATAAAGGCTAATGAAAAAAACAGAAGGCACTGTCCAAAACAGGCTGCCCTATTTCTACTGAACAACACATTCATGCAAACATTAGTAACACGAGGGAAGAGCACTACACCTACCTCAAGCAATGCTCCAGTTTGGAAGAATTTCAGGGGCTTTTCTATTGAATAGTAAAGGCTGTGGTAGCTGCCTTTAGCCAGGTATGCCCGAACGAGACCAACTGCAATAACAAGCCATCTGAAAGAGAGAAAAAATGTCTAAGATAAGGAGACATTAAGCAGAGCATAAATACAAAAAAAATCCTTAATTCCTCTTTCAGTATCTGAGAAAGCAACAGGCATAACTGTCCTGAAGTATACTAACTTTTGTCTACCCTTTGCAACACTGAAAACATTAAATACTTGGATGTACATGCATTTTTTAAGCATCTTTCAGCGCCAACATGATAAACAATATTTAATGTCTTGGTTTATTTTTCAGTGAGTTCTATTTAATTTAGTTATGGAATGCATTTGTGACGGATTAGCATCACATTCTGTTTAGTTTAAGCAGAAAACCATTGACAGCTGGTCAAAGATCTCTTATCACACCGTAACTTAAAGCAGCATGGCATAAACAAGATTTAGAAGGTGTTCATTTTAATGTTTCATTTCAAAGTAGACCCCTAGACTTTATGATAGGTCATCCACCTTAATTGGTAGCATATAGTATATGAGGAATAGTTATAGATAAATAACTACAAGGAAATTGAACCTGCTAAAGCCTTGAAGGCAGCACAGCCATTCCTGTCCCAGCTTTCCTTTTTAACCACAAATATATCTAGACCTGTGTAAGTACTGTGTGTATAACTGCCACTGTACCTTGAACAATATGACCTGCTAACCCTGCTGATTTTCCCCTCAGGTAACTTAAACAAACCTAAAAATTTTTTGTCCTGGCCAATGGTGTAACACCTTTCATTACCACACACAGAAGAGTCAGGGTTTGCCCATAACCTCAGAAATTCTTTAGTGAAGTCTATGGCAAGCCACAAAACTGAAGTGAGTGCTCAAGTTTGGTCACACACGTTTTCATTTGAAATTAGCATCTATAGTTAACTTTAGTTTCCAATTTATAATGGCAAACATGGGGAGAAGTGGTTTGTCAATAAAAACTGGGAAATCCTTTACAGTGGCTTCCCAACTTTTCACAAGCTGATCCTGGCTGTCTTACTCTCAGCTACTTTTAAAGCCACCATCTACTTCACCTCCCTCCACACCCCTCATGGTAAGTCACTAAGTGCCTCTGCTAAGAACAATCTACCTCAGTGGAAGTGTGTGTAGACATGCAGCAAGTCTCCTAACTATGCAATAGTCTTACCCTTCAGAAAAAAAGCCTGCAGCTTTGGTTTTGTAACAGGGAAGTTGAAGCCATTCCCTTCATTTACAGCATATTAGAGTCTTACAAGTAGCCCATTAGCTTTGGTATTGCGAAGTATATACAAATATTATCCCAGCTGTAGTAATTCTTTGGAACACACAGTGAAGTTCAGATTTTTCAATAATAAGTAACTCTGGCACCCAAGTTTGTGTTGGTAACAACATCTGTTAGCAGAACCGAAAGAAAGCTAATTCATTTCTGCCTCAACTTCTTGAAGACGAGCACCAAAGAAAAGCAGGAGTGGGGAAGACGAGTGGAAAAGAGAAATAAACCCTCCCTTTTTCAGAGTGACAAGTTATTTCTCTTAAAGCTGTCTTGTGAAACCAAAGGGCAAACATTTGCTGAGTAACTGCTGCTTACAAAGAATGAATCAGATTAATTTTGTATTTGGACCTGAGTGTAGAATAAACCAGTAAGCGCTATAGTATTAGTGATTCTCCCCTGCAACACTGACTGCTGCTTCTTTAAAACAGGATATCAGAGCAGGCTGACACTGTCCTGTTCTTATCTGTCAAGTTTCTCTGTTTTTCCTAATCTTTAATGTTTGTTGAGAAATTTGGCTGAATTGAGCAATTTCTCCAGTTGCACAAGACAACAGTTCTTGACTGTGCCTGCAAGCACCTGGTGAAGTCGATGGCTCCCAGACCCTCCTGCCAGGTCACTGACTCCAGAAAGACTGTACTTTTTTACTGTCCTTCAAAAAGCATTCAATACAGACCAAAGTATTAATCCGCACAAAATTAAAAGCTGAGCCTAGTTTGTGCTGAAGCTTTTAGTACCTCTGTTCTGCTTCTGTGATTCCTAAATAGTTCTTCACTCTCTATGACTGGAGAAAATGGAACAGAAGGAGAAAGCAAGGAGTATCAGCTGAAAATTAAACTGGGCAAGGAGTTTAAAAGGGGAGCAAAGGCACCACTGTGTCATGGAAGGTAAGGTGTAAAGTAGTTTTTCCAGCTTTCTCTGACCTAGACTCTGAAGCCTACCTGATACACCAGGTGGAGTCATATTTTATTAAATTACCATTGGAGTTACATTTCATTAAATTACTGCTGCTGTGCTTGTAAACTTCAGACTAGATTATCAGACTCTTTGATTAATCTAAACTAAGAAAAATGAATACTGCATACATGCAAATTTCTTACTTTCAGTTGCTCGGACCTGACAGACAAGCTTCACGCTTACATCCTTAGTGCAATTCCCTTTATTTCTCTCACAGTTATAAAAAGGCATTTTCTTATGCAAAGTTTACTGAGGTTCTGCATCATTTATGCAAGAGAATACAGCAAAGCTATGCAGTGAGTGCACCTGCAAAGGGAGAAGTGCACTTTGACTCTTCAACAACCACTCACTGAAGACGTGGACAACAAAACTCATAACCCTGAACTCTATTTGCTCACCACTGATTAACACAAACCCTTGCAAATTCAAAAGCTATTACATTATTGTCTATCTTGTTGATGGAAATCCTTCCAAAATTCCTTGTTTATACCACCATCAGCTACTTACACCCAGAAGTACCAGTTAGTTATGGCACTCGACTAAATATAAGAAACATTATCACCTTTCAAAGCAGCTTATCCAACTTTTACACTCAACTCTAACAGCATGCCCTCCCTCCCTGCCCAAAACTATTCAGTGATTTCAGTCAACCACGGTTTTTAGAAAACAATTTCTATGCTGCACCTGAGCCTCCAGAACGAGCTTCCTATGCCAGGTCAGGCATGGCTACATGGCTCCACACCGGGTGGGAACACAGTCTGACGGAATGCAAGAGAAGCAATGAAGAGCTTTCTGCAGCTTAATGGTTTGAACCTTGGGCAAAAAAACCCGAGAACCACCTGCCAGACTGGTTATTCCCTGTTGTGCCATGTTGGTCCCTTTTCTGAAAGAAAACACCCAAAACATGTGAACCAGGTGGTAAGTGTATGCAGCTCCATTGAGGGATCCACAGGTATCCATACTTTTTCTACTGTTTTGCTCCTGTAAAAGCCATTGTATTATTAGGAAACCATATCCTACATGCACTGCAGTATAAAATTAGAAATAAGATCTATTATTTCTGGAATCGTTTGTGTTTTTTTAAGCTCAGTCAAATGCAAAATAAATACAAAGTAAATATATTAATTATGCTGAGATTTTTTAATTGTTACTTGATCCATTTTAAATAAAGCTAATAACTTAGGCAACTATGGTTTTAAAACATTTCCTTTAGTACCCATTTACTGCACAACAATGTTGTTGTGTGCTTCAGTTTATAAGCCACCTCTTGTAAAACAAAACAAACCACTTACGAAAATCCCTTGTGCTTTTACAGCATCACTTCATCATCTGGGCACCTTCAATTTTTTGGTGTTTTGTTTTCACAATTCTCCTTCCAAGGCAGTGCAGTTTAAGAAACTAAGTCTGAGCACTGATTGACACAGGGTCAGTAACTAATTTATGCCACCAGCTGTATGTCAATCCTTTCATCTGAACAACTGAACTTCTGTCAGCCAACTCCTAAAAAACTATCTTTTTAAAAGACTTCATAATAAGAAGAAACTGAGGTTTTCCTAAGCTCAGTGTTGTATATTGTGGAATTTCAGCAGTATCCAGGGGAAGCAAAAAATCCTCATCCATTGTAAGACAAATTATCAGTCAAGAGCTCCCAGTGACCTACCCCAAAAGAAGGGCAGTGAGAGACAATGCAGAGATACAAACTCCTACAGTAGCTCCCCAAATTCCAGAAATCATCTAATCACAAACATGCCCAGAAAAAAGCAGCTCATGTTTAAGCACCATAAGCCACATCCCACCCAAGATTGACATTTTCTAGGAGGTTTGGTATAAATCAGGAATTTACATGACAACAGGAAGCTAAGTACAGATTTGTGCTATTTATTTCTGAGTTTCTAACAGTTGAATTTGTTTGAATTTTTTCTTCTAAGAAAGAGAAATTTCCCACGCTCAGGAGCTTGCCTGCCATTATAAAAAGTTCATGACCTCTAAAGAAACTTTCTATTTATACCTCAGCTTCTCTCTCAGATTTTTGAGATCTTTTATAAACGTAAGTAAAACGTACATGGGCAGCAAAATCAGAAGGTAAATGCTTTTACTTCTAAGAAGAGTTCAGAGAGGTGAACTTGTTCACATTGTGCGGGGTCACCACAACGAAACTGAAAAGACTGACTGACCGCCTGTACTGTGTTGTACTACTCAGGTAATTAAGTATTTCTGAAAGAAGGAATTCACTTAAATCAAGCTGGTGGGTAATTATTATGCCCCTGTGGGTGAAATACCCTGTAAATATCATATGAAGCCATACACCTGCTTAGCAATAGCACTTCACAGAAACATGGATATTGGGTAATGGGTGTAACAAACACCTCACGAGAACTGAGCTCTTCCAGCTCAGCTACCTTTGCTCCACACAAGTGTACCTACCTTGTAAGCTGAAACAGCACTAGCTGCCACCAGCAAAGACAAGAATCATCATGTCCAATTGCCTTATTACAGTAAATTGTATCTATATTAATTCTATGCTAACCTTTCCCCAAAACAGTGAGACTAGTCTGTTTGCTTAACTTCTCATTTGCTAGGATTTGTCTAGCAGAAAACAGGCTCATTTGGGATCCATTTTAAAGGCTCCTTTCTCCTCCCACCCAAATATCCTTAATCTTTCAAAAGATGGCTTTATTTTTATCTGGATTCCAATAAGACACCATTGCCACTTTAAAAAAAAAAGGAGTAGTCTCCTTTAGCTCGAGAGTCCCCAGTTGTCACTGTTTTTATTTTTGTGCCCAAGAACACACCTGTACAAGCACCAACCAGCCCCAGCCTCCGCTGTGCCAGGCAGGGGAGGGCAGAGCACCAAGCTGGCCAAGGAGCTCACATGTCGCAAGCAGCAGATTTCAACCTCAAATTATGGAGCAGCTGAAGGGTTCATGGGGAAATCTCACAGGGCTCAAGAGCTTTGCCTTCTTAACTACTGCTGTGGATAAATTCCCTGTGTTTAGGTTCATCTCTCAACTCAAAAGCGCTGGAGTCCACACCACAAACGTGGTGATGTGGGAACAGCAATCTATGGTCGCCTGGATGCGAATATTATTACAGAGCAAATTAGGGTGTCAATTATAAAACAGGGCAGTTCCCGAAGAACACGCACTTGTGCTGTTCCACATACCTGGTTTAGGAAGGGGCATAAGAAAGAGGACGAGCTGCGGAGGGGGTCGGACAGCGCTGAGCGGGGTCACACCTGGCCAGGAGCTGCCGAGGCCTCGCACAGGCTGGGCAGGGGCCGCTCCAGGGGCAGGCCCGGGGGACACCCGGGCAGCCAGCCGGGATTATTGTCCGTGTGGGATGGGGAGAGACGGGACAGCGGGACGGCAGCTGTGCGTGTGCCTACGGGAGCCCCCCTCTAGCAGCAGGAGCAGCGAGAGAGGGTTCGGCGGTAGTTTTCAGCGTCACCCAAAGTGCGAGGCAGGACCACCGACAGCACGGGGCACACCGGGCACACCACGCGTCCGCACCCGGCGGTGCCGCCGCACGGGCTCCGGGGAGGGCGGCCGGGCAGGAGAGCGGGCACGGCGGCTGGAGAGGCCCCATTCCCCTGCCTGGACCCGCTCCCCGCGGCGCGGGGGACCTGCCCTGCCCTGCCGGCCCCACACGCGGCCGCAGCCGGCCCAGCTCAGCCCCGCGGCCCCGAGCGGCGGCCGCAGCCGGGACACCCCGCGAGGGCGGCCCCGCACGGTCCTTACCCGCCGTCATCACCACGTTGTAAAATAACGAGGTAGCCCGTGGCCAGCGCGCCGGGGCCCTTCCTGCGCCGCGCCTGCTGCCCGCCGTACCCTTGTCCGCCCGGCTCCCGCCGCACCCGGCGCCGCCATGTCGCGGCTCCCGCGGCTCCGCCCGCTCCCGCGCCAACCGCGGGGCGGCGACACTTCCCGCCGTGCCGGGCGCTCCGCGCAGCGCCGGGAAGGGCAGCGGTCCGGGGGAAGGGCGGGGAAGGGCAGCGGTCGGCGGGGAAGGGCAGCGGTCGGCGGGGAAGGGCACGCCGGTCGGCGGGGAGGGCAGCGGTCGGCGGAGGAAGGGCAGTTGTCCGCGGGACACTGGTCCAGCAGGCAAACGGTGCCCCCGAGCCGGGCACGGCGGGGCCGCCTTCCCGGGAAGCCCACTGGGTGATGATTCCCGTCCGGGGATCAGCGACCTGTGTGGTCGCTTTCTAGGGATCGCTCAAAATGCCCCGCTTCAAGGAGAAATAGGTCTGCCGTGTCCTTAGAGGCATCAGTAGCGTTAGTTGTCACGGTCGGGTTATTTTTGGAATATTTAGTAGGTTTTCATCACTCTTATGGTTTAGTCTAGAGAGGAGAGGACTGAGAAGGGATGTCCGTAATGCATATAAATGTCTCAAAGGCGGGCGCCAAGAGGATGGTTGCCAGGCTCTTTTCGGTGGTGCCCAGCGACAGGATAAGGAGCAATGGCCATAAACCAAAACACAAGAAGTTTCACCTCAACGTGAGGAAAAATTTCTTCATGGTGGCAGAGCTCTGGAACAGGCTGCCCAGGGAGGGCGTGGAGTCTGCCTCTTTGGAGACATTCCAAACCCACCTGCACACATTCCAGTGTATCCTGCTCTAGGTGGGATGGACTGGATGATCTGCAGAGGTCTTTCCAACCTGAGCAATTCTGTGGTTCTGTCTGTGAATAAGCTGCTGAGCACAGTTCTGGCTGTAACTCATTTCCTGCTGAAGTTCCACACAAGAGCAAAGCCTGCAGAGCGTTAACTTTCCCAGCAACACACATTCAAGCATCCTTCTTGGGGCAGACAGAACTGCCTTTCTGGAGAGCTATAATGGAAGAATTTTTATTTTTTTTTCCCTTACAGAAATTGTAAACACTCTCTGGGGTTACTTCTCGACTTCCATAAACAATTCTCAGTTTATTTCCCATGCATGTCATGGTGCAGTCCCTTTATGAGCAGTGCAGAATAACAGCATAAGCCTCACTTCCCATCCCAGCAATACATGAGTATTTATGTGGCCTAATAAAGTCATGGCATTACATCTCTTGCAGGCAGGAGGGCTCAAAGTGCAAAGATGATTGATGAGAATTCCATTTTCAAACACCAATGTTTTAGTGCAATGTTTCAATAAATAACTTTTAGAGTAGCAAATCATTCATTATTCATATATGCAACTAAAAAAAACAAATTCAACCTTTTCAAAGCCTGACAGTCACTGCAGAGGAGAGAGCTGTGAAGTTTGGTGCTGTCTTCCTTGTGAGTAAAGGGAAGCAGCAATCCAGCAGTCTGCATGCCACATATGCAAGTAGCAAAGGTGTCTTCCATCAACCAAAAATATGCACAGGATGCTTGGGTGGTTGGACAGGCCAGTCATTCAGTAAATTAAGTTTCTGCAAATCCAGAAACATGAGTACTGAAAAACAGCAGCCAGTCCCAAATTGTCCATGTTACTTGAGAAGACTGAATGTTATACAAAAGAAATAGAATTAAATGGTCCATCTTGGGCAGTACCAGTGTCTTGCATACCTCTGATACTGGGGATAATTTCAACTCTATGAGCCCCCAAGAGTGGCTTTCTGCAAACATTATACAAGAAAGACAAGGTTTATAGAAAGAGGTTATGCCTTTTATTAGGCCAATTAGGATGGCTGGAAAAATGAGACAGGGTTTCAAGGATATAAAATATCTTTCTTCAGTGGAAATAGAATTCTGTTGTTCAAACAAAACAAAAAAATTTGAGGTCAAATACAGGTTGGAATCAATTGCTCAGATCTGAATTAGACACGTATCATCTAATTTCTGAAGTAAAAGTCATTATTTCCTGCAGACTAGAATGGATGTTAATAGGAAGGAAAAGGGAGATGGTAAGCTCCTTGGGATATCCTTGGGGCAAAAGAAAAACAGGCAATTTATAGGCTGTGGAACCCAAAAGGACTAGGAAAGTGTGGTGGTTTGGGCTAGGCCTTCCTTGGTGACCAGTTTGTAACCAAGGAAGGGTCCAGATTTACCCAGTATTCCCTACGATTTTTACGTAAGCTGGGATATAAGAAGAAAGGAGGAGAGGCCTTCGTTCTCTTTCCTTCCGGCGGCTTGGAGGTGCAGGTTCCCTGCTGTTGAGTCTGCCGTGTTGGGGAGCGAGGCCTGGTTGGGCCTTGTCGACCTTGGGAGACAGAGGTTGCCGGCGATCGTTCCGGAGCGACCCTCGGTTGTCCCAGGAGAGTAGTGAGCTATTTCTTTGTTAACTTTTTTAGTGGATAGATATTGGGCTGCTAATTGGGAATATTATATATATATAATATTTTGGTTTTGTTCCTTTTCCCTTCCCCCTTCCCTTTCCCTTATTTTTTTTAATTATATATAAGTGTAAATATATTTATATATCTCACTTTGGTTGTCTCTCTCTCGTTTCGGGTTTTCTTTCATTTTTTTTTTCTCCCTCTTCTCCCTGAGGTTTGGGGGGGGGAACTCTGGTGGTAAGGTTTGGAGACTTGGCAGGGAGCCAGCTTCAAACCATATCACATTATTTGGTGTTTCCGCCCGGTTTATCTCTGGTTATCTCCGGTTTGTTTTGGTTTTGCCACAGTTGTTTAGGAACAAGTCTGGGAAAGGAGCCAAATTGGTGCAAACACTGCCCATTGTTTGGGAACACTACCGGGAGAGCTGCCAAGAGCCTATTGTTTATATAAATATAGCTTTGTTTGGGAACAAAAAGAGGAAGAATATATAAACATGGCCTTTTTATTCATTTTCTTGGTTATTTTGGCCGTTTTTATATATGCTGCTGGGTATCCAGTGAGAACTAACCCAACAAGCATCTACCAATACCTGCCTTTCCTCAATTATGACATCAAAGGCCTAGTGACTGAGGTCCCTGGGATCAAAATTGTCCCCAATCCTTACCTAAATTGTTTGGCAACGGTTCTACTATTTCTAAAAGCCATGGAAGTGGTGTTTAACATTGGAAAGGTGGTGTGGTACTGCTTTTCTTGTTGCAGGAAATGTCGAAACTCAAAGGGATTTGCTGGAACTTTGGGAAGGGCCTTGAAAAAACCAGTCCCTGGATGGCAAGGAATTTGGGTCAACTTTGGTAAATTGGTAGGGCGTGTGACACCTCCCATTAATTGGGATTTCACACCAGAGCAGGTGTTTGATCCTGATGAGGTGGCACGTTGTCTGGCAGAAGGGTGTTTTTCTTACGAGGACCCAAATATGCAGTTTTTTGCTTTGTACTGGGGCCTGGCGAGTGCCTATCGAGCTGCTGTGGATTATGCTCGGAAGACTAAGGTTGAGGCAGAAACTCAAACCCTGCCACCTGAGATACCACTCGCCCCTGTTGTGAAAAGGAAGTCGTGGGTACCAGCGCCCGACACTTTAAGCCTACGACCAGATGGAGAGCAAAACAGGTCAGGAGATGACGGAGAGGGAACTGATACTGATACCAGTGCCAGAACTCCACCTCCACGAGCAGCAACACCCCGAAAAATGGAAACTACAGAGTTGCGGTCAATGACCCCATCAGAACTCCGGGACTTACAAAAAGATTACACTCGTCGGCCTGGTGAGCGAATTCTATCGTGGTTGCTCCGATGCCGAGACCGTGGGGCTAGAGGTCACATGTTGTCAACTGCGGAAGCAGAACAACTAGCTTCCATCTCCGGAGATTGTGAACTTGATCGCTTATTCGCAGAGGAGAAACCCGACCTCAGTCTTTGGGCGCGACTTGTCTTAAGTGTGAGACAAAGGTTTCCATTTAAAGACTATTTACCGTGTCCCGTGAAGAAGTGGACCAAGTTAGAAGACGCCATCCAGTACCTAAGAGAATTGGCATTGTTGGAACTTATGTATGAGGACCCTCATTACGATCCCATCACTGATGACCCAGAGGTTGCCATTTGCACAATGCCCATGTGGAAGAAGATAATCCAGGGTGCTCCTGCATCATATGTCCATACCTTGACAGGAGTAATGCTTCCAAACATGCCAGAAACACCTGTGAGCATGTTGTGTACGGTTCTGCGACATATGAAAGAAACAATAGAATCTAGGAATGAGTTTTCTAGAGACTATTCTGATCCTAGTTACAGACAAAGACCTGAGAGAGATGAGCCTTACGGGCACTTTGATTATGAAGATGACTACGGAGACCACAGGGACAGACGCTACAGAAATAGATCAGCAGACCGGTCTCAACCACGATCTCGATCTTGGTCCCGGTCCCGCTCGCGATCTCCTTCCGTCACACGCAGAAGGAATGAAAACCCTAAGCGTAGATCTAAGCGCAATGAACTGTGGTCCTATCTGCGTGCCCATGGAGAAAACATGAGCAAGTGGGATGGTGAACCTACTTCTAGACTTGAGGCCAGAGTGAAAGAACTAAAACGCAAGGAAGATGATAAGAAAGTTGTCTATGTAGTAGATGCAGACTTTTTTGAAAAGGAATTGAGATCTCCCAGACGCAGAGGGTCTGGAGTCCGTTTCCAGGACGACAGGAAAGCCTCTGCCAAACCAAAGCAAAGATCCGACAGTGAATGCTCCGACCAGAGCCAATAGAGGGGCCCTGCCTTCTGCCAGGAGAAGGAGAGGGACGAGAAAGACAACAGGGTTTACTGGACTGTGTGGGTTCGATGGCCTGGCACATCGAATCCTCAGAGATACCAAGCTCTAATAGATACTGGCGCGCAGTGTACATTAATGCCCTCAGGACATAAGAGTATAGAGACTGTTTCAATTTCTGGGGTTACAGGAGGGTCTCAAGAGCTGTCAGTGGTAGAGGCTGAAATAAGCCTGACAGGAGACCAGTGGGAAAAACATTCCATTGTGACAGGGCCAGAAGCCCCTTGCATTCTGGGCATGGATTACCTCAGGAGAGGATACTTCAAAGACCCGAAGGGGTACCGATGGGCTTTTGGTATAGCCGCGGTGATTGAAGAGGAATCCAAACGATTATCTGCCCTGCCTGGCCTCTCAGAAGATCCTTCTGTTGTAGGATTACTGCGAGTCGAGGACCAGCGAGTGCCAACAGCCACTAAGACAGTGCATAGGCGACAGTACCGGACTAATCGAGATGCTGTGATTCCCATACATAAGATGATTCGTAAGCTGGAAAGCCAAGGGGTGGTCAGTAGAACACACTCACCCTTCAATAGCCCCATCTGGCCTGTACGCAAGTCCGATGGCGAATGGAGACTGACGGTGGACTATCGTGGCTTGAATGAAGTCACGCCACCATTGAGTGCTGCTGTACCAGACATGTTGGAGCTCCAATATGAGCTGGAGTCCAAGACCGCGAAGTGGTACGCCACCATCGACATCGCCAATGCATTCTTCTCCATTCCCTTAGCAGCGGAGTGCAGGCCGCAGTTTGCTTTCACGTGGAGAGGTGTGCAGTACACGTGGAACCGACTGCCCCAGGGGTGGAAGCACAGTCCAACCATCTGCCATGGACTGATTCAGGCCACCCTGGAGAAGGGCAAGGCCCCAGAACATATCCAGTACATCGATGACATCATTGTATGGGGGGACACAGCGGAAGAAGTTTTTGAGAAAGGAGAGGAAATCATCCAGATTCTCCTTGATGCCGGTTTCGCCATTAAGAAAAATAAGGTCAAGGGACCTGCCAGAGAGATCCAGTTCCTAGGGGTGAAATGGCAAGATGGACGACGTCAGATACCAACAGATGTCATCAATAAGATTGTAGCCATGGCTCCACCCACCAACAAGAAGGAGACGCAAGCTTTCCTGGGGGCCATAGGCTTCTGGAGAATGCACATCCCTGGGTATAGCCAGATTGTGAGCCCTCTTCACTTTGTGACCCGTAAGAAGAATACCTTTCAATGGGGTCCTGAACAGCAACAGGCATTTAAACAGATCAAACAAGAGATTGCACATGCCGTGGCTCTTGGACCAGTTCGAACGGGACCAGACGTAAAGAACGTAC